CAGTTTCTTATACCCAACAAAATAGGAATTATATATATATATATCTTAATTTCTGACACGCCTTTCACGGAAACTTGAATTTTAAGATTTCCTTACTATATACACCTCAGCGAAAGAAATAATATACTATAATATAGAGTAAATTTCGCATTATTTAATTAATAATATGTGAAGTTATACAGTGCACAGTGTATTTTATTATTACATATTAATACTGATAATGTCTTACTAATAATTAATAATTGATAATGCTAAAATCATCAGTAAAGTTTCACCGAATATATATATGTTCTCTGAATATTATGCTTTACAATTATCCGCTAGGTATGTCTTTGAACAAATTACTCGTGGATAATTGTACTTTGAAATGTGAAATGCAATTATATAATCATTATGTATTTTACTCGGGAGAATAACTATGCAGGAAAACATTATTATTAGGCACAACCTTTATATCAATGATCATCGATACTCAAGTTTAAAAAAAATGATTCCATAAATGAAAAATATTGCAAGAACAGATCATCAAAGTGAAAGATTCCTGGCAATTTAATTTGGAAAACCTTGACTTTTATTTTTTTTAAATCTCTTTTTAAAAAATATCTTTATGTGGACGTCACGCATGACTTCCTTGTTGGTCTATTAAATTATACAAATTTTTTCTGCACTTCACTTAAATTTATTCCTCCGAACTGTTCTAACTTAATTAACTGATCGCCAGAGGCAAACTGAAAAATGACATCAAAATTTGCAAATTTTAAAATTAAATATCTCAGCCAATTTTTGTTGCACACGAGGCAAACTTCTAATTTTATTTTTCATAACGAGTATAAAATCTTTCCCAATTATAAGTACAGGAACTGGGAAACCACATTAAAATTTAGATTTCGTTATTTGTCGGAAATTAATTTTTTTTAACTTGACACTGCCAAAATATGTATGTTTTCGTGATTTAAAAGACTGCTATGATTAGACGTATATGACTATAACCAAGATTGTGAAAATAAAGGCCGGGAAAGGATTTTTACGATCTCTCTAACTACGCAGCAAAGCCTCTCCAAGTTATTATAACGCAGAGAACTATTGCCGATCCGTTGCAACCTTCTTCAAGTCATCCTATTACATACATACAGGGGTTGGACAAAAATATGGAAACACCTTTAAAAAACATGTTTCTTTGCTTAATATGGTGTAGGAAACCCGTTGGCATCCAAAACAGCTTGCAGTCTTCTCGAAATGGATAAACACAGTTCCTGTATGTTTGCCAAGGGAATATTATACCATTCTTCCTGCAAAACGGTGGCAAGTTCAGATAACGATGTTGGCGGTGGATAACGAGAACGCACTTTCCGTTCCAATGTAGACCACAAAGGTTCGATAATATTCAGGTCTCATGACTGTGGTGGCCAGGGATGATGGGACAACTCATCCTCGTGCTCAGAAAACCAGTCCTGGACAATGTGAGCTGTGTGAACAGGGGCTTTGTCGTCTTGGAAGACACCATCACCATCGGGGAACAAAGTTTGTACCATGGGATGAACTTGATCGGCCAAAATGTTCACATAAGTCTTGGCAGTCATGTGCCCTGACACAGTTATCATGGGGCTAGCAGAGAACTACGATATGGCTGCCCAAACCATAACAGAACCCCCGCCATGTTTCACTCTTGGCAACAAGCAGTCTGTATTATAGGCTTGAGATGGCGTTCTCCAGACTTAAACTCGGCCAGAAGTGGGAAACAATGTGAAAGAAGACTCGTCAGACCATATTACTCGCTTCCACTGCTCTATAGTCCAGGCTTTATGACTTAAACACCACCTTTTCCTGTTACGGGGATTAGCATCACTGATGAGTGGCTTCTCAATTGCAGCACGGCCAGCAATTCCCTGTTTATGAAGCTCCCTTCTAATTGTCTTGGTACTCACAGGGTTTGTTAACACAACATTCATTTCAGCAGTAACTTTTGCAGCTGTGGTCTTATTTTTTCGTCACAATTGCCCTTAATGATCGTCTGTCACGATCACTCAGGACACACTTTCGTCCGCGCTGTGATTTAGCAGATGATGTTTTTCCGCTTTTCAAATATGCGGAATAAATCTTCGATACAGTACCTCTTGAAACACTAAACACCTCGGCTGTGTAACACTAAACACCTTGCTTACGGAAGCACCTACCATACGTGCTCCAACAATTTGCCCACGTTCGAAGTCTGTTAACTCTGACATAATGCAATGACAACCTCACATAACAGTAGTCCGACAACAACTGAACTGTTTAGCACATTTACGAAGTTGTATAGGTAGCGTCAGTAGTCAAAAACGCCAGCGCCACCTACATATTTCATTAAAATCAATCTTTCTTTTCAAACATGCATTTCACAAGGTGTTTCCATATTTTTGTCCATCCACTGTACATGCACTACAATCCGTTTTGGAAAAAAAAAATTCCTTTATTCTGCCCGTACGTACAGACGTCCCAAAAAAAAAAAAAAAAAAAAAAATGTTTAAATGCATTCGGGAACGGTCAAAATGAATATTTCTGTTGAAATATGATATCCGAAATTTTTCGCGATTACAATACTTCCTTTACTTCGTACAAGGAAATAAAAAAAAAATTCTCAGAACAGTAGAGAGTCCGAACTAAAGATGGTTACCATCTTTAGTTCGGACTTCTAAGTCTTTCGTATTTCCAGCAGAAAATGGCAATAAAAATTACATTTAATATAAGTGAAACAGGGAAACAAAATTAGAGAATATACCCAATTCCGGTATTCGTTTTCTTATTGCCTTCTGAGGGGAAAATATTATTCTTTCCAGCAAAATCCCAGATGCTCTCTCCCTTAAAAATGTACTTCTTAATAAAGATGATGATTCTTCAAGAGAAAGAAATCTATACCTCACTCAAACAATCAGTGAAAGAGCAGTAACATTAATAGAAGAGATAAAAGCAAAATGAGAAGGATTTAGATTAAAAAATAAATTTAAACACAAAAACTCGAACTCCCGAAACAATTGGACAACCTTCGTCCTGACAAGTTAATTAAATGGAGATTCTGTTTTAGAAGGCGCCTTTGCGCGAGTCAGACAGCACTGCCTGAAACACAATCTTAGCGTGGGCAAAACAGACTAACTCCATTCTTTTTGATTTGTTACACCGTGTTCGGATTTCAATTTCTCGTTCTTCATACGCATTCTCCATGCTTCGAGCATAGTAAGAAAGGCATGTCCAGGGTATATTACGGCAGGTCATGTCATGAGATAAGCAAAGCATTATGATGAGTCAAACCACTCTTCGAAATTCTTTAGAGCATTTATCTAATTCCGCTTTTAAAATGTACTATAAAGCATTTAGAGAAAAGTGTTATGCACTGAATGAATTCTTTTATTCCGTTGTGTCACATGAAGTTATCGTCCATATTCAGTACTTGGGCAACCTATTCACAAACATACCCATTTTCTTCTTATTTATTTTATGGTTTGATCCTGGCTACCAACTTACATAAAATGAAAATTCGAGAATGCATTTAATCAATAACGATATATTAACACACATGCAGCAGTGCTTCTGTTTCAAATTACTAATGAACTACTGGAGAATGGCATAAGAGAATTTTCTTCTAGGAATAAATAATTATCGATGCATTACTCCATGATTACATTAAAGTAGCAAGGAATTTTTCTCGCTCTTTACAGTCTGACTTTGCAGTGTCGGATGGCGGGGCCTGGCTAGCAGCCCTGAGATCCGGAGTTCGAATCCTTATCCCGAAACGTAATTGGAAGCACGTCTGGCTAGTAATTAGGATTCATGAAGTTCGAATCCAGGAAACAGCACTGCTGATTTTTCGTGTCTCCTGCTTCGGTAAATGCGTAATTGCTCTACAATGTTATTATCCTCAAAATATTTTAATAATTTTTAATTTTATTTTCTTTGGGTTACCATACACCTTTTCCCTGGACATATCCTATTTTACACGCCTCAAATTTCTTTCTGGTCGGGTTTTGAAACAGGCAAAAATTGTTCATGTTTTCTTGTTCCATTACCTCACAGTAAAATTATGAAATACAATGCGTGAGATCTATGCTAAGCATTATCAAAACGATGCCAAAATGCTGCATCACAGTTCGAGATGGGCATTTTTTTAAAATCACATGTTCTACGCCTGGTTACTTGTATCCTTTGCAAAATTTTCTCCAACTGTGTCATCGGAAAATTTTGTAACTTTTGCAAAAACATTTATTAAATGTTTATTTCTGCATAATTTACAGCAAGTAGAGCATTGTTAGCACAGTGTCATGACTCAACATGCTTGCAATATATCGAAATGTTTGCAAGAGACGAAGATCTGCAGGAAAAATAAGAATACAGGGGCGCGTCTATTTAACATTGAGGTAAATGGTTATGTCGCTAAATTGGCAAGACATAGCGAAGGTGGCAAAGTTTTTTGGCGAATATTTTTGTTGCCAATTTTGGCGAGAAATCGCCAAACGTCACAGAACTTGGCGACATATTGGTACGGTCCTTGCATATCTGTAACTGGCACTTAACTGAATAACTGTAATTGATCCCTATATATAACTGTAACCGTATCCTGCCCTTATGTGTAACTTAACCGTATATGTCTTTCGGTAATTTCAAGAAATGGACATTTCTTGGCGGCCGGGGGAGGGAAGGAACTATATAAGATATAAGATAGCAGAGAGCATCAGTTTCTCAGTTTTTAGTTCAAAGTTGATTTCGGAGTATTGAGAGTATTGAGAGCTTCGTAAAAATTTAATATGTTTTTAAATTAATGTGTTTTAGGTATAAATGTAATTACCTAATACGCATAATGGCAGAAAATTAGATCTAAAAGAATTTGATATTAAAGAATTAAGCTGTAATTTCATTTATGTCACCGCATTAGCTACACAAATTCCCAACCTGTGAGGAGGAATTCAAATCTTTTTCAATTGCAATTTCCGTTAAAATGTAGTGAAACTTCCCCGTGAAAATATTCTTACCTTCCAAACATCTCCAGCATCCGTTCCAATAACAGCAATGGTTTTTTCCTTCTGCAGAGTGATGGCCAAAGATGTTATAGTAGCGTCGATATAAGTTCGAATGCCACCCTGAATGGTCTCTCGGCCAGCGATGTAGCTGTTAAAAGCGGATCCACAGAAGCTGTCACTAACCTCAACCTCTACCTGCAAATACATTTCACTATAGAGACTTCACTATAGAGCAAACTGTAACCATCTTCAAGTTATTATCCTCTCTAAAAATACATATATATTATAAAAATTAATTTATAAATGAAAACCTCATTTCTTCTTTTTTACGTTGATTCGCTTTAAAGCCCTTCATCCTCTGAAAAAGACTCATAAGTAAATGTCTATGTACCTAAAAAAATTGAATTAAAGTATTGAAAAAGGCTGTCATAATATCCAGCTAACTGCAGGTGGATACCTTATAATAAATCAGAAAACCTTCAATGCAGTTGTATAGTCCTCTGTGAAGAAATTCTAGATATGCATGGCCAGATCTAGAAACAATTCATAATTTCATCACAAAATTATAAAGATGATTATATTTTCTACAGGCACCAGTAAATTTCCAAACGATATAAAAATTTGGTAATATTTTCTATATGCTGCTATGAATTAAATAATACTTCAAATCAAAGTCAGGTACAAACAAAAGAAAACGTCAGAACTTAATGGAGTATAATATAACAGCTCGATAAATAGTACATAAATGTATATATTGTTATTTAAATCGGAAAAATATTCTATATTTTTATAATTCGATATAAAGACAAACAAAATAAGAAAATGCGGGGAAATTTTTGATGAAAGCCTTTATTTTATATGCATCAGAGCCTAATGTGACCTTTCTGTGTTTAACTGTCATTAAAAAAAAAAAAAAAAACTCTGAAGTAGAAATTGTTTAAATATACTTAAACAACACAAGCTTGGAATCTGTTAGCATATTAACAAACACTTGACTAAAAAAGTGAGAAACATAGCTCGAAGAATATGGGCTATTCATACAAAGATAAATCTCCCCCAATCCATTAAAGTATCATACACTGTTCAACTGTTTAGGCTATTAAGGTATTTTCTCTCTTCTTTCCAACATGCTTTCGTGGTGTAATTGGAAGCATACTCGAAGCGTATTGGAGAGGTCCAGGGCTCGAATCCCCGCAAGGGCATTGCCCATTTTTCACGTCTGCTGCTTTAAAATAACTTAGTGATTCTACAAGGCTAAGCGCCAAATACAAACTTCGCAGTATATTTGATATTACAGCATCTTTCACTGACACTACAAGCATTATTTATATGATAAAATACAATAAATATATGAAAACAAAATTGTAAAATTTCTATTGAAGATTTCCTTTTTAGGATAAAACATAATTTAGTATAATACATTGATTTGATAAATTAATTGATTCACTGCTTTATTGGCAAGAAGAAAAAAAAAAAGATACTTACCTTTTTCTTACAAGACATGTCGATGCCAGTAATATGCTTCAATATATGAGTCCTCGTCTCCGCCTTGAAGCAGTCTCTCGTCGCATTGGTGAAAGATCCAATTACAGTAGACATTGGGAAAGAACACACTACCGAACCTTTGCTGGTATCCACTAATGTTCCATGTTCAGGGACCGTCTTAACAAATGACACGTACAGAACATCTATCATCGTGCGCAGATTAAGCCGTCTTTGCAACTCAAAGCCGACTACTCCTAAATAAGCTGCTGTCGCCATGTTGTAAACATCTAAACCATGGTTACAACGAAGAGCAACTTCGGTATATGAGAAGAATCGACGATCTTTGTTACAAACACGAACAAGTCTGGTCTCGATAGCTTCCGACTCTGTAGAAACTCGCTGAGTGGTCAGGAAATACGTGAAATTACCATGTCCAAAGCCTGTTATATAATTCACCTACAAATAAATATTAATTCACATATATTTATATGAGTTTCATTTTTTTTTGTTAGTCTATTACATGTTTTCTTTTGTGTCAACAAAAAAAATTTGTGTTTCATACCATTCACTTGAGTAATATGTATACACGATATGCCTTAGATTAATTATTTCGATTGAGAGCAATGTGTTTGCGGAAAGCATCTTTATCTGGTTCAGTAGTCGGCAAATTCATTAGTCAACAGAGCCAATTATCAACAGTTTAACGATTGAAATCTGAAAGAACCACATTTTTTAAATTTAAATGACATAGGTAAGGTATATTGTTATTCACTTAATTAGGGTACTCTTACGCTGGCTTTTACTAAGAACGACTTCAATCTGATCAACGTACGTTCTCTGAGGTCGACCCTTTTTGAACTCTCCCATCCTCACTTGTCTTGTATACACGCTTCGTGTATCTTCTTTCGTTCATCCTTTCTATACATGCAAACCATCTTAACATACCTTTCTCAATTCTCAACATTACATTTTTTTCACTCCACAATACTCCCTAAAATTAACTTAACACTTCATTTTTGAAGTCTTAGTTAAACTCTATAGGTATTTGAAATAAAATTTGATATTACACTAAACAACGGTACTTACTATTTATTGATAAAATAAAATTGTAAGGTATCCAAAAACTTAAATCATGATAATTACGAACAAACCGTAATGCGAACAATGCCTTGCGTCTCCTAGGAAAGTTTGTTGAGTCATGTTCGTATATTCTTGTTTTTAATTTTAAGCGTGATTCCAAGTTCTCATCAATAAAACGACTTTTCAATTTAGTTTTGATAAAGTTCATGCATGAAAATGATTGTTCGCATAAATAAGGAAGGAACAGAAAATGCTAGTTTTTTACGTTATTTGGTTTCTCATTCAAGTTAAAATTGCAACTGTATGGTATATTACTTCAAAGCATTTCGTTAGTTAAAAGTTGGCACACGACAAATACAACGAAAGCAAAATTTGTTGCATTGTCAGTACAATTAAAACACCTAAATCGATAGAAACAAAATGACCTAGGAATAACATTGGCGGATATGTTTTCAACAGTTTTCATGCTTAAAATTTGACGGCCTTTGTGTTGTAATTTCAAGATTTTCTTGCTTTGCGCTTGATTACTGCTTAGGGTTATTATTATTTTAATAACCAGTTATTTACTATTTCAGCTTTACTATTACTTCTCCTTTCCGTTTCCTCACCAGAATGCAAGTCATGATAGTATTTAAGTCAAGAGTTTTGAATTATTAGACAGAGCGTGATTCTGCCTCTCGAGCCCACGTTACTATGCTTCGCAAGCTCTGGTAAGATTGCAATTCTTCGGCTTTGTGTAATGCCTGCCGACATTTAATTGTTACGCCGGTGACAAGTTTGAACCAGCTTAGAATTCTTGTTGAACTTGAGTGAACTTGTTTGAGCCAACTTAGAATCCAATGACTACTAGTCTTAGTTTAATCTGAATTGCCTATTACTTTAAGTTACATCTTCACAAGTGGTGGTTGATATTGTCAAGCAAAAGAAATGCGCTTATGTTCAAGTTCTGTTTTAATAAAAAAGTTGTTTTAAACCTTTTCAAGAATCTGTTATTACTTCAGACCAAGCGATAATTCACTCCAAGTTTGTTAGGAGTTTGGAGCTAGTTTATGCTACCAAAGAAAGTCAAACTCCAAAACTGCTTAGATTCAAAGGTCCTGAGTGCCCCAGTTTACATGAGACTTCAATCATTAGTTCTTCATAATGCTGACTTTCCCTTATAGGAACAAAGAAAGTAAACACTACCAAAAGTGTTTCTAAGGCCAAATTACCTTAATTTAGACTCCGAATGTAGTTTTGGATCAAAAGTTAAAACGATTTAAAATTGGTTATGTCTTTTCAAGTTACTATACACCGCGAAGATGACATCCGTCCTAGTTCGTGCCTGTTGTTCAGTACATATTTTTTTATTTTGTTATAAGATATTTTGAATAGCACAGTATTACATATGAACATTCATATTACATAATTGAATACTTATATATAAGCGGCATTATATGGTATGTATGTATATATGCATATGGCAGTGCATTAAATGAATACTACATTCGGTGTATAAATAAGTCAAATGTGCTATATTTAAGTGATGACAATCAATAAGGAAAAAAGATTTTTACACTACAGATATATATAAATGACATTATGCAATCATTATGTATTATATTAGTATGTATTTCATGTGTTAAATTGGCATATTTACAATAATGGAAAGAACACTTATATTGCCAGAGTTAGATAACTGTATGTAACAATGCAGTACACCGGATGAATACAAATATATGTATATGTCAGGAAGGTAATTCGATGGAGCAAATATTTTAATATCAAAAGAGTTAAATAACTATATCAAAAAATAAATACTTATATTACAAGAGCTGAAACCGAAATTTAGCTATTTAGGGATTGACTGATATAACAGTTCCAGATCCAGATTACTGCGTTTTTGAAGCGCAATATATAGTGATAGCATGTAATTTCGATAGAGCAACATTATTATTTTGAATATTTTTCCACGAAGCTGCGCGAAACATGGGTGCTGGCATTTTTAGATGTGTCTGTGTTGTCTGTGTTGGAAAGACCAAACCTATGCAGATATGCTTTGTGCGATGCAAGTGACCTGCTCGCAGTTTTGTATCATACACTTCCTTGAGAATATACTTGGCTAAACTCTTGGAACATAAGCATAATTTTTATGACGAAATTGATCAGTAAAACGCAGAAGCGGTTCAAAAAGCTATTCAAGTGATATCTCTTGGAAACCACACGCTTAACAAAGACCACCAACCGCGATCATTCACATTCATGGAAAGTTCTCAAAAAGCACAACCTGTATATGACACACATACTAGAGGAAGAAAACAAAGAACACATCCTGGGAAAAACTAAAGCACTCGGAAAGAAAATGTTCCGGTCTGATGGATGCGCGAGGCACAGTCATGCTGTGACGTCGAAAATGCGTCAGAAATGATACGGCCTGCATCACGCTGAAAAGAGCGGGAAATTGAATGATTCTTGCTGAAGAGTTCAGCGTTGCTCATTAGCGTGCCTTAGAACACTCAATGTTCATGTATTTGGGCAGCCAATGCTCATTTAAAATAATTATTTGTTTAGTTGTTTTAACAGTTTCATAGCGAGCTCTTTCTTTCTAGGCCTCTGTTTATCCCTTCTTGACATTTTATTTGTTGAGAACCTCAATAAAGTGTACATGATAATTAGGAATTATAATACCAGTAAATAAGTTTACGGATAAATCGCAGAAAATAGTCTAAAATTTTTATCTATTAAATTGGCAATTTTTACCGATTAATTTGATATAATATATACATTAGATACATATCAGTATTTTTTTATCTTTTTCCGCATTGAGACATTCCTAAATCTTCAATAAACATTAAGTTGTACATAATGCTAAGCAAGAAAAAATCAACAAATTATCACCACATAAACTAAGAATACTATGTTTAAACTAATATTAGATGAGTTGTCATCTATTAAAATTAACAATATACGTAGGCAACTCTGAAATGTTTTAGAAAGGCAGAAATATTTGCTAAAAACAATTATTTGTTAGGTAACTCCCCCCTTTTTTGGTTCACTGACGATAATGTGTGGCAATCATTGCAATTTATCTATCGTAAAAATAATTTTTGAAAGAAAAAAAAAATGGAGCTGACGCAAGTATATTTTCGCGTATGATTCTGAAGTATGGCTAAATCAATAAAAGTACCTTCAAGGTCTCCGATTAATACATGAAAATAAAGCTCCATCTCGTGCCACTGTATTCAGATAGTTTATAGAATTTCGTATAGGCCGAAATTATTTCCTGGATAAAGAACACACGTTTATCAGTTGCAGCTCCTGACAGGGCCTGCGCTAGGCATTTTGCCTCCCAGTACAATTTTGTCTCCCAGCTTCCATAAATTCTAAAAATTTCGCCATCCATAAATTGTGTTGCTCAATGCTTCACTTAATTCTAAAATTTTTACCGACCTTAAATTCTGCGGCCCGGTGCAGTCGCACCGGTTCTGGCACCGGTGGCTTGGCAAATGCGGTCAAGAGCAGGAGACTGACGTTAATTACGGAAGGGGAAAGTAAACGGCTGTGTCAAGGATCATAAGAGGAGATATATTTAAAAAAAAAAGTGTTTTTAGGTCTCATTCAGTATCAGTATATCAGAAATAAATGATGCACATGGTATCAGAATGGAGACAAATTACATACGATACGAAAAGTTATCTTTATTTGTTTATTAAAATTTCATTATTACATTGTTTTCGTTCAGGAATTTCCTTCCACCCCCCCTCTGAGCAATACATACAGGTACATGTAAGTCGGCTGAAAAGCACTGCTATAAACAAATAATCCAACCCAATTCCAGTTGAACAGCGCTTATTAATACTAATTGTTTACAGAAAGCATCCTAGTTTTTGAAAAGCTTCGTATCATCTAACATTAAATTAATTAATTAATCATCTTAAGAATGATTCTGTGTGCTTATTTAACTGAATATGGCAAAACATATGAGTGCTGACTAGGCATGATTTCATGGAAGAATTTTCTAAGGGGAAATTGGGCTCATATTTACATAACCTTAAAGAAATCCACGAAAATGCTTACATACAGTGGTAGGCATTGTAGGAGGGTTCGTTCAATCCATTTATTAAATTTGCATCTCATTTTCAAGTGCTCCCATCTGTTAAATTTGCATCTAATTGTCAAGTGCTCAATTTTTTGGGCTAGTTTATTCATTCAGAAGGAAAATACATGTTACTCACTGAACTTCGCACGTTAGTCTGAATAACCTTTAAACCCCATGAACCTGATGATGATATTTCTGTGACAAGGGGAGCTCTTCTGACTGTACAATCTGTTTTACATTTAGCGAGCTTGTGCCGAACGAATAAGTTTATTCGCTATTTTATATAATTTCTGCAATA